AAGTTCTGCTAGACCTCTGCCCATTTGTCCTACGCAGTGGCTGTTGCAGTTTTTACATTGTATGTTAGGGTGAGTCCTGTTTGTTTTTTCTGGAGCTGAGGGGCATTTTGATTTATTTAGGATGTTTTAGAGGGCTTTGTTGTATGATATACTGATGCCAAAGTAATAGCTTGTTGGCGATTTATGAGATATTTTTGATGTATTACAGAGTTATCTTTTTACAGCTTGTGTTGGTTGTGCTATATTGGGTTCAGTGGTAAGGCACTTTTTGATGAAGTTGCATGGATATCATTTTGTTGGAAGGACTATAACTTTATCTGTAAATTTGGAGACACTTTACTCTTGCAGAATGTTGATCTCATCTTACAACTCTGAGTGTGTGTGTGGGGTCTGCACGCGTGTGCGTGCAGCATGTGCGTTCATTCATTAAGAGAGTGAAGGCAGAAATCTTGCATTAAGTTTGATCTAGAATCAAACTGATGAGGATCTGACTTGGACTATTTGATGAATTCTGAAGCAGGCTAAAATTAATCTTGTGACTAATATACACCAAACTATCTTAGATGTGATACATCTGAAATGATTTGCTTGAATAAGCAAAAAATTATAAGATAATGAATAAACATTAAATATAAAGAAGTGTTACAGGACCAAAACATTAATTTCAAACTCAGAGCTAAATTATTATTATTATTATTATTATTATTATTATGGATCACCGAACAGTCAGCCAGATGTTCAGACTGGATTTGGCATTTTGTCTACCTATCGAGTCCTTACCCAGGACCTGGGATAGGCAGATGTGGATGTTTGATGGTATTACAAGTATCGTCGCAGGATGGAAGCAGTTCCTAATAAGGCCGCCTTTTGCAATTGACTAATAGCGAATTTGTCAGTGCCAATTGTGTTCAAGTGGTGCTCCAGTTGTTTTGGGATTGCACCCAAGGAGCCTATTACTATTGGTACTACCCTTGCTTGCTTTTGCCACAGTCTTTCTATTTCTATTTGTAGGTCTTTGTATTTTGTTATCTTCTCCAGTTCTTTCTCGTCTATTCTGCTGTCTCCAGGCACTGCCACGTCCACTATCCAGACTTTTTTGTTTTTCTTATCGACAATTGTTAAGTCTGGGGTGTTATGTTGCAGGTGCTTGTCTGTTTGAATTCTGAAGTCCCAGAGCAGTTTAATTTTATCATTTTCTATGACTTTCTCTATTTTATGATCCCACCAGTTTTTGCTTACAGGCAAATGATATTTTTTGCAGGTCTTCCAATGCACCATTGTTGCTATTTTGTCATGCTGCTGCTTGTAGTCAGTCTGTGCAATCTTCTTGCAACAGCTTACCAAGTGGTCCACTGTTTCTTCAGCTTCTTTGCATAGGTGGTACTTACTGTCTGTTGCTGTCTTCTCAATTTTGACTTTATATGCATTTGTCCTTAAGGCTTGGTCTTGTGCAACCAGAATTAGTCCCTCGGTCTCTTTCTTCAATTTTCCTGCTCTTAGCCATTGCCAGGTCTTGTTATTATCTGCTTTCCCAGCTATTTTTTTAATGTATTGGCCATGTAGTGCTTTGTCTTCCCATGCCTCTATTCTGTTCTTCATTTGGTCTTTCTTGTAGGCCAGTTTGGTCTCTCCAGTAGTCAGTAAGCCTTCCTGATATACTAATTTCAGTGCATCTTCATCATTGTTCTTCAGATATTCTTCCAAAGCCATTTTTTCTTCTTCAACCATCTGATGTACTTATAGCATTCCACGCCCACCTATTTGCCTTGCTAGATAAAGTCTGTCAATGTCACTGCGTGGATGAAGGGCATGATATTATTATTATTATTATTATTATTATTATTATTATTATTATTATTATTATTATTATTATTATTAATTACTAACAAACTACCAGATTCTGTAACAGTTTTGAACACTATGATAAACTCGCAAGATTCACTTTTCTCACCATGTATATGTATACATTCAAACTAGACTGTGCTGTTTCTCTGGGCGATCATATATGTGTGTGTATGTGGGTATATGCTTTATTTATTTATTTATGTCTTGTTTATGCAGTATATATTGGAGGTGGTTATTCTTTGAGAACTTATGCAACAAAATCTCATTTTAATGTTTGCTGATTAGTGTACATTTAATGTGATAATAAAGTTATTATTTGATGATGATGATGCACACATTCTATTTTTGAATATTGAGGTTACATAAGTTTCACACTTGATTTTTATACCCTCTAACAACTATAATTCACAGAACTGGGCAAAGTTTCAGCTTCTTTATTAGAAACTTTTGCTACTTTTCATAAGTACTGAGTTTTTCAGGCAGTCTTCCTCTAATTTGATTTGATGTTGTCATCTTTTGTTCTCTTTTTTATTCTTGTAAGTGTCCTTGTGTTTTATCACTGTATGGACATATTTTTTTCTATGCCAAAAATAATTGTTTATTGCAGCATATAAATATGCTTAATTAATTAAGAGAGAGCATATTTTTTCCATTTCCAGAGGAAAGAAATCTAAATATGTCACTCTTAATGGATTGGAATCTTTTGGTTCAGCTTCTGATTTTCAAGAAACAAACTTTTCAGGGGCCATCAAGTACTTCTGAAAAGGATCTCAGGATAGGTGAAGGACATAATAAGTCTTTAAAAGAAACTAGTTTGTGAAGCCTAAATTCTAAACCTTGTTACTGAAACCTTTCTTAGGAACTCAGAATCAGTCAACTCAAGTTTTGAAGAAAAAGAAGGATCAGCATTATTTTACCCAATTTAACATATATTGCAAATATATCTGTCTGCAAAATAGAACATTCAGAAGCCATTTCTCAACCAGCTATGATATTCCTTTGAATTAACCATATGCTACAGGTAAATTGGGGTTATGAGTATAAAGCCTTAGCAATTGCAATAAAATATTGCTTCTGTTATTTCTCCAAAAGGAAGTGGACTCAAAATATTCTACTGGCTATATAATGCTACCTCAAAGTGTAGAAAAGAAGAGCTTGTGAATTTTTGAAGTACTTTTATTTCTTCTTCCCATCTTCTTAAATAACTTAAAGAAGAAACAAAATGTTAGTTCCTGAACTGTTATTTTCAAATAGGAAAAAAAAATCAAAGGAGGTAGCTAAAATATCAGAAAGTAAACAAGTAAACAAGAAATAATACAGTTATGCTGAAGAAATAACCAAGTACAACACTCTTTCTCCCCATAGTTGATTTCAAAATATAAGTGAATATAAAGTAAAACTTTCAATTTATTAATGACAGAGTTTATTTTATGCCTAGGATTTGGCAATAATGATCACATTAGCCTAATAAATTTAAAAACAAATCAAAGAAAATTATTAAATAGTAAGAGCCAATATACATAATAGCTGTCAAGGAGATATTTCAATTTTTTTCATACAGGCTATACCATACTCTATATGATTCCTACAGAATTGTTCTCCAATTTACAGTATGGCAGCACTATTTTGCTTATTGTTACATCTGAATTTTTATTCTGATAGGCTAAATGGTTTTAAATGCTGTGTTTACGCAAGATATTACTGTTGCCTGAGGTAGAATGGCAAACATTACATTCATATTATAGAGCTGGTGGTGATGAAGGAGGAGGAGGGGGGAATGTGTACAGTTAGTTTAGATAGACTTTAAGTCTGATCCATCATGACTTTTATTATTATTCTTATGTTATTAGTCAAATGCTGGAGCTAAAGTAGGATCAAATGTACACATGTTAATTCAGAAGGTTATTAGTTTCATAACAATGACTTATAATTGACATGGTGAGAATGATGAAAGAAAAGGAAAGCCCTAAATTTGAGAAGAAAAGAAATACAGTGTTTGGTATATAACTGGGTGATGGCCCCCATCTGCGTTTCTTTGTGTCAATTTCAAACACCCCGTAGGATTCCTGAAGCAGCCAAATTATAGCTTTCATGAAAATGATAAATGAGAATCGTTGTCATGAAGAAACAACTGGGAATCCTTATGGCTATCATTTCTATAGTCATCATGCCCTAAAAGGCAAATTCGGTTATGTGATAAACTCTGAATGGCAAATATAATACCTGGTGGAAAATCAGCTTATTACTGAAAACAACATAACTTTAAAAGAAGACTTTTTCATACCACTCTTTGTAATTTGAAAAAAAGGGTACAATCCAAAGAAAAGAAAAAAAGGACTACTAACATACCAAATATAATATTGTCATGCAATATTGTATACATTTTTTGGAATTAAGAGTGACTAACCATAATTTTTATTTCTACAACATTTAAATTCATTTCATTCTGTTTTTTCATGGTTCCATCCTGTACAAATCCATGAATTGTAAGTTTTATACTTTAAAAAAACTAAGCAAACAAAAATTTCATATCTCTGTTCCAGATATATTTAATAAAGTGTAATTAGACTCAATATGAAGAGATTGATATTATATTATTTGGTTGACAAGTGATGGTAACCTTTATTCAATGTCACCATATCAATACACACACACACACACACACACATATGAATTCAACTTCAGATTTTGAAGAAATAAGAGTTCTATTTGGAGACTGAATATTTCCATATTACATATTGGATAAAGTTATCTTTCTGTCTATCCTATGTGAGTTCTTTAAATCTGCCTGAATTCACTAATTTTATTTGGTACAATATTATTGGTTTTTATTATCTCAGTTTTTTCCTACATAAAAAATAAGCTCTTTTCAACAATAGAATTGGAAATATCAATCACCTGAGATACATTACAAAGAAATCCAAAATGGATGTGACATGTGACACCATGATAGACTACAATACACACAAAAAATTAACCTTTTCAGAACCTTTTCCAAAAAAAAAAGAGTAATTTAGAACCACGGGGGAAAGAGTTCCATGGCTCTTTTATCTCCTTGTAACATGGTGCTGAAAGGATTCTGAAAGTATTGCCATTGATTTGTAAGTTCTAACATACATAGATTCCCTATTAAGTATTAATCCATTGGCCAATACCATACCAGCAAGTAGATGCCTATATGATTAAGACATGTTAAAATAATCAATTAATATTGTGCCCCCAAAGGCACTGTAACCATTTTTCCCAATAAATTCTCTGTCTAATTTATTTTAGCCTGGATTCAGCCTAAGATACTACTTTAAAATATAAAATGTGTTGCTAAATTGGATTACTAAAAATACTTACAGTAAATAAACTCAGACTGCTGCCATGCATATTTAAGGGTTTTCAAGTTCATGATAAGGATATTGGTGATGTCCTGGAAAAAAACAAAGCAAAACACTTTTACAGGACATCCCTATACATCAGAAGTTAGACATTCAATTGTTGATAAGATAAGATAAGATAAGATAAGATAAGATAAGATAAGATAAGATAAGATAAGATGGGACGGGAAGAGGTAAGCAGTAAGAGATGATAAGAGATAAGAGATAACAGATAAGATAACCTTTATTGTCATTTTTTTTACAGTGGGCACAACGGCCCACATCAAAAATGAAATTTAGTTGCCTGCTCTCAAAGTGAAACACATACATGACACACAATTAAAACATACTACATACAACATATGTACAGACCCACACCCCTACATATGCATAACAAATAAATATTAAATACTGTCCATCTTGAATATAGAACAGAAGGAGGAGGCTTGAGAGTTCACAAGGTTAATGCTGTATGGAGTGAAACTATGGCTGAATCTGGATGTTCTGTTTCAGATACCACAAAGTCTCCTCCCAGAAGGTAACAAAGAAAACAGGTCATGAAGAGGATGTGTAGTGTCACAGATAATCTTACAGACCCTGCTCAAGCAGCGCTTCTGTGCTATGTCCTGGATGGGAGGGAGTGGACTGCCAATGATCTTTTTGGCCATTCTCACCATTCTCTGCACCGTCTTCCTGTCTGAAGCACTTATGTTTCCAAATCAGACTGTGATGCGGTATGACAGGATCCTCTCAATCGTCCCCCTGTAGAAAGTGGTCAGGACAGGGGAAGGAAGATGTGCTTTTCTCATGCAATGCAGAAAATGCAGGCACTGCTGTGCCGCTTCACTAGTTTCTCACTGTTGAGTGACCAAGTCAGCCTACTCATTAGCTGTACACCCAGAAATTTGATGCTGGTAACCATCTCCACAGATGAATCATTGATGCACAGAGATGTGTGGCTGTGCCTGCCTTTTCTGAAATCGACAATGATCTCTTTGATTTTTCCAGTATTTAAAACTAGACTGTTTTCCTTACACCAGTTCACCAACCCCTCAACCTCCTTTCAGTAAGTTTCTACCTTGTCATCATGAATAAGGCCCACTACTGTTGTATCATCTGTGAACTTCACAATATGGTTGGTGGCAAACCTAGCACAACAGTCATGGGTCAACAGGGTGAACAGCAGTAGAATTAAGATGCAGCCCTGAGGAGAACCTGTGCTCAAGGAAATCGTATTAGAAGTATTTGTTCCAACTCGCACATATTGGGGCCTGTTGGTAAGAAAATCAAAAATCCAGTTGCACAAAGGAGTGTTTAAACCTAAGAGGCCCAGTTTGTCTGTCAGATGCTGGGGAATGATTGTGTTAAATGCCAAACTGAAGTTGACAAACAACAAACACATGTGAGCATTTCTTTCCTCTAGGTGCTTCAAGCTCAGATGGAGAATGGAAGAAATAGCATCCTCTGAAGACTGATTTAGCCAGTAGGCAAACTGAAGCAGGTCAAATGCTGGTGGGAGGCTAGATACAATGATGTCCTTTATCAGCTTCTCAAAGCATTTCATAATGGTGGATGTCATTGCAACCAGATGTTAATCATTGAGGCCTGTAATTATAGACTTTTTTGGTACTGGCAAGATGATGGCCATCTTAAAACATGATGGGACCACTACTTGCTGCAATGAGAGATTGAAAATATATGTGAGAACACAAGCCAGCTCCTCTGTGCATTCCCTGAGAACATGTTCAGGGAAGTTATCTGGGCCTGCTGCTTTCTGAATGTTAACTGTCTGCAGTGTTTTCCGGATAGAGGTGACATCAAAGCACTTGCTTATCAGGATGGAACACAGCTCAGATGCCTCAAATCTACCAAAAAATGTATTCAGTTTGTTTGGGAAGTCTGTGTCGTCCTTGCATCTCGATGGAGTCACCATGTAATCAGGGATGGCCTGGACCCCTTGCCACATTCGCATGGTGTTTGTTGGATCCTGAAAAAAGTTCTGAATTTTCTGGCAATGGGCTTGCTTTGCACCTTTTATGGCACTTTTCAGATTTGCTTTGGCTGTTCTAAGTGCCAGCATGTCACCAGTTTTAAAAGCCACATTCCGTACTTTCAGCATCTTGTGGACCTCATAAGTCACCCATGGTTTTGCATTCGCCCTCACAACGATGCTTTTCAGAACACAGACATCTTCTATGCACTTTTGGATATATGCAGACACCGTGGTGGCATACTCCTCAACATTTGTATGTTGGTTATCAGTAGCTGCTTCCTTAAACATGCCCCAATCTGTGCACTCAAAGCAGTCTTGTAATGCTTCTATAGCTTCCTCTGTCCACACTCTCACCTGCTTTACTGTAGGTTTCTCTCTGACTAATAAAGGGTTATATGCTGGAATAAGCAGCACTGAGATATGGTCAGAGGAGCCCAGGTAGGGGTGGGTGATAGCTTTGAAAGCCTTCTTGATGTTGGAATAAGCTTTTCTTGTTGCCAACCCTATCAGTCATATACATTCTAATGTTCACTGAATATGTTTATAAATTGCAGAGATGTTCAGTTAGAATTTCAAAGCAAACATGTAGTTTGGTCTGCATGTTAATTTGGTATGAGTGCTATTTAAAAGAAATAACTGTCTCTTGAAAACTATTTGAGATTAGAGAGAAAACAAAACTGAAAGAAACAATTGCAGAGGAGTAGCTATATTCATCTATTACAGTAAGAAAAAAACCCTTCTGATATCTTAAAAAGTTACAAATTCATTATTGCATAGAATAATCCATGTATGGTTATACAGCAGTAACTCTTTTAATGTATTAATTGTCATAAGAATATTTCTTGTTCTGAAAAAAATAGAATTCTGAAAGAAAGAAAATTAACAGCCATATGCTATGATCCTCCATAGGAAGATTAGTGACTTGTCTTATTAAACCATATTTGGAATAATTAATTGCCAAGATTAGTTAAATTGGAGATTATTATGCAGTATGTTATTGTTCATCAGTTAATTATCTTATCTGAAGGACAGAGCTTAGAGAGTATAGGAAGTAGGAAATACTGAGAGCATAAATCAAGAAATTATTTATTGCTAATTATTTGTAGATAAGTGTATTGTATATAAAGCAGTCACTGAAATCTTGTATAAAAATACTCAGAAATAAGTCCAGATTCTATCTCACCAATTAAAAATATTGAGACTTTCCTGACAAACCTAGCAGACAACTCTGTCTCCCAAAAAGTAGAGAAGGAAACTAGGGGATTAGCCATTTTGGATCTAATTCTCACTAACAGAGATGAAATGATAGAAGGTGTTGAAGCCATAGGAACCTTGAGAGGAAGTGATTATGCAGTATTGGAATTCAACATTATGGAAGCACAAGCAATAGAACACAGTCAAACTAGAGTCGTGGACTTCAAGACAGCTAATTTCAATAAACTTAGAGAGGGTTTGGAAAGGATTCCATGGATGACAATCCTCCAGGGGAAAACAACTCAAGAAGCTTGGGAAATTTTGAAAAGTGAGATAAAGCGCAGTCTAGCACAATACCAACAAAGAGGAAAAATAACAGCTCTCAAAAGAAACCAGCATGGCTGCATAAAGAACTCTCTAATAAATTGAAAGATAAAAAGGACAAGTATAGAAAGTGGAAAGAGGGACACATAACTAAGTCAGAATATCAGCAAATAGCCCGAGCCTGCAAAAATGAAGTGAGGAACGCTAAGGCTCAAAATGAACTAATTTTTGAACCAAAGTCAAAAATAACAAAAAAAGCTTCTTTCAACATGTAAAAAACAAGAAAAAAGTGAAGGAAAGGATTGGTTCATTAGTGGGTGAAAGTGGCAAGAAGGTGACAAGCAACAGGGAGAAAGCAGAACTATTTAAATCGTTTTTCGCATCTGTCTTTACACAAAGGGAAAAAACAGACCAACCTATCAAAAATAGTGCCATAAAAAAACAGAATAGAAACACGTTAAGATAGGCAAGAAAATGGTAAGCGAGAACCTGTCCAGCCTAGACAAGTTCAAATCACCAGGAGCAGATGGATTACACTCCAAAGTTCTCAAGGAACTAGCAGATGTGATCTCAGAACTACTGAACTATATTTTTCAAAGATCCTGGAGCACTGGGGAACTAGCAGAGGACTGAAAAAGAGCTGATATAGTTCCCATCTTCAAAAAAGGAAATTACAGACCTATCAGCCTGACCTCAATACATGGGAAGTGTTAAGTCCTGGAAGTGATGGCGAATGAAGAAGACTCATTTCTAGTGAACAGCTCTTTATTTGCATTTAGTCAAAACTCCAACAACGAGCAAAGGCACACAGGCCTCCTTTTATACATCCCAAATCCCCAGACATAATGGCAACATCTCTAGGCACTTTTGCACCTTGCACATGCGCGCTAGGCCGGCACCACTCAGTCTGTTCCTGGGTAGCTTTTGCAATTGCCCAGGAACCTTGAAATGTCCCGAGCCTGCATTTGCAGGCTCAGGACACAACACCCCTTCCCCCTTAGCTAGAACACACACAGTACTTGTTTATTTACACTCAACACAAGAATATAAATAATACATAAAAAAATATTCTTCCCTCCTACAGACACTCTACTCTACTACAACATTGTTTTGTCACTCTCTAATGTGTATTTCATGTGTTCTATTGCTACCCACATAGGTTCCATCTCCTCACCATAGACATGTACTTTCCTTATGTTGACAAGAACCTCACAAACTCGTCTAGGTGTTTAGGAGGGCTTTAGTCCATTAGGACTTACGCAAGGTTAGGGAGGGTGCCTGGCCTGACAGCTCCCCTGCCTGACTGAACAGACCAGGACTTGACTTTAAGGGCGCCTGGCCTACCGGCCTGTCTGCTAGGCTCGCTAGACCAGGACTTTTATGCACATGTTTTACAGGTGACCCCTAATAGGGCGTACCGGCAGAAATGCTAGAACTCTCCCCAGGCTCTGTGAGAGCAGCTGCACTTGCCCCACCTTCTGAGTTGGCTGGGGATTCCATGACTACTCTGGATGGCTCCTGGGAACCTATGTCCTCGAGCCC